AACTCCTATAGCCCATGGCCTTTTCGGACTTGTGAAACTCTTGAACAAAGGAGCCAACATGACACAATTCTTTCAATGCTATTTCCCATAATAATTTTTTTTGAAATCTTCAATGACATTTGACATAAATTTCTTCAAAATATTCTCAAATATTTATTTTTGTAATGAAAAAACCTCTGAATGAAACATAGCAAGTGTTAGAATTAATGAACCTTGTTTCTCAATACCAAGAGGGGGTGAATTGGTGTTTTATAAAAACGTACACTTTTTAAATCTTTTTCGCAAATATGAATGATCTTCAAATCTTTCTTGTGCAGTAAGCAAATATGTATGCAATGAAACTGGAAATGTAAAGAGGTAGGAGAGAAAAACAAACACAGTTTTTATCCTAGTTCATCAATGCCTACATCCAATCACCCTCCCAATCAATCGGAGAGTATTTCACTATAATGATCAGAGTATTACAGCCAAGGCTTTACAGAGCACACTCAAATAAACACCTTACAAAATGTCAATCAAATATAGAATAGAATACACATGCAAACATAGAACCCCTTGTCCCTATTGTAGAAACCCTTTGAGAATCCCCTCTCAAAGTCAAGAACTCCCCACTCTTCTTCTTGACGCGCACGTCCAGGGAAACATCAAATCAAAGATTGCAAAATCTTCTCCCGATCAAAATAGATGCACCTTCAGTCATGCTAAAACGATTAGCCAATACAGTCCAGTCAATTACCTCTCAAGAATTCCTCAAGTTTCTTCAAATTCTTCACGTTCTTGATTCTTGGAGCGTTTGTTCAACCTGTAACACTTTTCTCATAGAGAATATCAGATATGATAATTTACAATTGATCAACAGTTGTTACAGAAAATTCAAACAATGCGTCCATATATAATTTGTATCAGTTCTGACATAAAATAATCGATTACTATACTTATGTAAACGGTTACATTAAATAGATGTAACAAGATTACAACAAACTCAGCTCTTAATTGAATGCTCAATTAATGTAATCGATTTTTATTAAATGTTAGTCAAACACATTTAAAAATATGACCATTAAAACATTTTGACTAAGCTAAAAATAGTTTTCAAAACTTAACATGCTTAATTGAATACACAACACATGTAATCGATTAATCTTAATGCTTAAACATATTTTGAAAATTTTTTCTTCCCAAAAACTCATCACGACACATTTGAAAATGATATATGCAAACACATAAGTTTTAATTGATTCAACAACTAATGTAATCGATTCAAACTAGTTGTTTTGCCACAGTTCAAAACATAAGTTGTCTGATGACCTTAATTGATTACTACAACACTGTAATTGATTATGTCATGAAGATATGCTTTTGTGCATGTGGTTTTCTTTATGCAGAAATATACTATGTGCATACACAGAATAATCACATCATAATCACAATAGTATGCATAAATCACATAGTATGTCCAACATATGCATTTGTCACAATATATGCATTTATCACAGTAAGCATGTACAAATTCACATATGTATAACGCAACACATAAATACTTTTCTATTGTGACATGGCAACATTCATGTGTTGTTGCTATTAATGTGTTGTCATCATCAAAAACAACATAACAGGGATTGGGTTTAGCTATCACATTGCTCCCCCTATCAACAACAAGTGTATGCAATCCCTTCACTATAAATCAGTACCTAGAACCCAATAAGTACCTCGTTCACGATTCTTCTTTTCAACCACTCGATCGTCGCTTTTCAACCACTTGATTGTCGGTATCGCTGCCGCCTATACCATCGTGTGTTGCCATGTCGTTGACTCCACTATGTGTTGTCGTCGGCTGTACCACCAAGCATTGTCGTCTGCCCGTAGACTACACTGTGTGTTGCCATTGTTGTCGAGCTCTTAGGCATTGTCAAGAAGAAAATGGGATGTTCAGGGTCAATAGAGAAAAATGGGGGTTTTAAGGGCTAAGAGGCTAACCGGCCCTAATTTAATCCCAACCCATTTTCTGGGGTTTTGGGGGCTAGGGGCTTTGGAAAAGCCTCACCAAATGTGAGTCAAACAAAATGGGCCTTAGTATAGAAAACGCCAGGGTTGGCCTTAAAGCTTTGAAAAAATTTGACAACTCTAGCTGTCACGTCAGTACAACACCATTGTCCACCTCAACATTTTTTTTATTTCGTTTGCATTTTATTTCATTGTAATTTTGGGCCAAACTTGCCTAGGTTTTAGGACCCATGAACCAGGACTTTCATACCTCTAGGATGTAAGGGAGGCTAGAGTCTTAGGTTACAATGGAAACCAGGAGGAATGTTACAGTAGTTACAAATATCTTAGTGGAAATGGGACAATATATATATATATATATATATATATATATATATATATATATATATATATATATATATATATATATATATATATATATATATATATATATATATATATATATATATATATATATATATATATATATATATATATATATATATATATATATATATATATATATATATATATATATATATATATATATATATATATATATATATATATATATATATATATATATATATATATATATATATATATATATATATATATATATATATATATATATATATATATATATATATATATATATATATATATATATATATATATATATATATATATATATATATATATATATATATATATATATATATATATATATATATATATATATATATATATATATATATATATATATATATATATATATATATATATATATATATATATATATATATATATATATATATATATATATATATATATATATATATATATATATATATATATATATATATATATATATATATATATATATATATATATATATATATATATATATATATATATATATATATATATATATATATATATATATATATATATATATATATATATATATATATATATATATATATATATATATATATATATATATATATATATATATATATATATATATATATATATATATATATATATATATATATATATATATATATATATATATATATATATATATATATATATATATATATATATATATATATATATATATATATATATATATATATATATATATATATATATATATATATATATATATATATATATATATATATATATATATATATATATATATATATATATATATATATATATATATATATATATATATATATATATATATATATATATATATATATATATATATATATATATATATATATATATATATATATATATATATATATATATATATATATATATATATATATATATATATATATATATATATATATATATATATATATATATATATATATATATATATATATATATATATATATATATATATATATATATATATATATATATATATATATATATATATATATATATATATATATATATATATATATATATATATATATATATATATATATATATATATATATATATATATATATATATATATATATATATATATATATATATATATATATATATATATATATATATATATATATATATATATATATATATATATATATATATATATATATATATATATATATATATATATATATATATATATATATATATATATATATATATATATATATATATATATATATATATATATATATATATATATATATATATATATATATATATATATATATATATATATATATATATATATATATATATATATATATATATATATATATATATATATATATATATATATATATATATATATATATATATATATATATATATATATATATATATATATATATATATATATATATATATATATATATATATATATATATATATATATATATATATATATATATATATATATATATATATATATATATATATATATATATATATATATATATATATATATATATATATATATATATATATATATATATATATATATATATATATATATATATATATATATATATATATATATATATATATATATATATATATATATATATATATATATATATATATATATATATATATATATATATATATATATATATATATATATATATATATATATATATATATATATATATATATATATATATATATATATATATATATATATATATATATATATATATATATATATATATATATATATATATATATATATATATATATATATATATATATATATATATATATATATATATATATATATATATATATATATATATATATATATATATATATATATATGGATTTTGTATCTCATTTGCCTAGGTCATTGAAGGGACCTAATAACATTTAGGTAATCGTGGACAGATTGACTAAGTGTGTTAATTTCTTGTCGATAAATCAGCGAATGTCATTGGAGAATGACCGAATTGTATATTCGTGAGAATGTACGGTTCCATGGAGTGCCCGCATGTATTGTTTCAAATCGAGATTCGAGGTTCACCTCTAAGTTTTGGCAAACTTTAGGTACCCAGTTGAGGTTGAGCTCGGCTTATCATCCTCAGACCGATGGACAGTTTGAAAGGACCATTCAATCTTTCAAATATTTGTTGAAGGCATGTGTTTTGGATCATCTAGCGAGCTTTAACGAGATTCTACCTTTGGTAGAGTTTACTTACAATAATAGTTATCATTCTAGCCTAGGGATGGCACCATTTGAAGCTTTGTATGGAAGGAAGTGTCGGACGTCGTTATGTTGGTTCTAGGATGGTAAATTAGTGACTGTAGGTCCGGAGTTGTTACAACAAACTACGTATGAGAGCAACATGAAGTAGACAGAAGTCATATAGTGATCAAAGGAGGAGACCTTTAGAGTTTGAAGTTAGAGATCTTGTGTTTATGCGATTGACACCAATAGCATGAGTTGGGAGAGTTATTAAGTCAAGGAAGTTAATGCCAAAGTTATTGGACCATATCAAATGCTTAGGAGAATTGGTCCAATAGCCTATGAGATAGTACTGCCACCTCAGTTGGGGAACTTGCACAATGTTTTTCATGTGTCTCAATTGAGGAAATACGTGCCAGATATAAGTCATGTGATGGAAGTGGATGACATTCTAGTCAAAGAAGATTTAACCATTGATGTCAGACCGGTAAGGGTGCTAAATGTGCAAACTAAGATGTTGAGAGGGAAGGACATTCGCACAGTGAAGGTGTTACGGGATGAAGCTACTCAGGAAATTACTTGGGAGTTTGAGGAAGTTATGAAGAAGGAGTATCCTTATCTTTTTGGTAAGTATGTCAATTTTCGGGGACAAAAATTCTTTTGACGAGGGGTGAATGTAAGACCCGAGAAAAATGTAGTTATTAAAGGATAAAGTGGGTTTGAGATATGAGTGTTGCTTCTTGGTAATTGGTGTTTAATGTTTAGGTGTTTCGTAGAATTATAATTGTTATGTTGATTACTTAATATTATTATTGATAAAGTGTAACACATGATTGGTATGTTATTAAATTAGTGATTTACCAATATGATATATTGGTTTGTCAGTAGGAATGTTGTTTTGGATGGAATGGATGTGGATTCAATGCCTAGGGAAAAGAGTTTAGGAGAAACTTATATTTTAAGAGAATTTTTGGCCTAGGGGCAAAAGGGTATTTTTATCTTCATTAAATGGTGCAGAAATTAAGTTAAGAGGTGTAGAAAGTAAAGGTATGCAAAATAAAATAAATCTGAAAATGAAAAAGGGGATTTACGTAAAGAGTTATAATATTTAGTAGTTATTGATATTTTAAAAACAAGTTGAGAGAAAATAAGAGAGGAAATTTTGGTGATTTTATAGATTAAGTAGGAGATCTTATTTTAAGCAAAAAGATAAAGATAGAGTAAAAGGAGATAAAAAGAAGCAGAGTAAAACGAGTCTGCACTTTTGAAGAGTTATAAACAAGCATATAAGCTTCATCTCTCCTAATTAGTCTTAAAGGATACTTCTATTGCTACAAGGATACGAGCTTTGTGGCATTATCCTCTAGACAATTGATGTCATGCTTGTATATCTTTATTTAAAGGTGTGTAAAGTTATGAAGTAAGTATAATATAGTCAAAATTATTAATAATAAAACATATTAGTTGATTGTATTTGGACATTAGTAAGCTTCGTCATGGATGGAGGATCTAAAATGGTACTAAACTTAGAAGTCCATAAATGAGTCCTTCTGCCAGGCCAAAATTGTGTGCTCCCAAAACTTGAATTGGGTAATAGAGTATGACAGATATCCCAATGTGACTTAACTCCATATGGACTAGACATAGTGAGTCAATGCACAATGCTCACATCTACAAATAAAATAAAATTGGAAAGGCAATAAAAGCAATTCACCACCAACCACTTAAGCAGCATAAGTATGATCCACTGTTGGAGAATGGTGAAACAAAGCAATAGACAACAAACATAACTTGCTGTGAACAACGAAAACACGTCCTTCTAATGGGATCTGTGGAATTCACTCAACTAAAGGTCACATGACTCGCTGAATACGACTGAGCAATTCAAATTCATTGGTTTAGGAACATCATTCTATGTGATTAATGAACTATGAGTTGTTAAAATTTCATGGAATAGATTTACCAAAACCGTGACACCTTTATTCCTATGATTTACCTCTCCTGGAATTGATACTAACAATAGCTATTATTTCAAATGAGTATGATTCATTGACTTTAAACATTTTTTGGTTAAAATTGTTGGAGTCTATGAAAGTAAATAACGTGGCTATAAGAATATATATGATGTCTTAAGAATTTATATTAAATTTTTTTCATTTCAAAGACGAATAATAAAGTGATGTTTAACACTTTTATTAGTAAAACCAGTTATCTTTCTAGACGATACAGCAGTTATATTTTTGGCAAATAATATTTTTTATCAGCATGGAAATAATCTTATTTAAGTTGAATATAAATATTGTTGACACATGAACGCTTTGAACTTTCGGGTAACATTAGTACAATGTGTAGCTAAGTTTTATTATATGCATTACAATTACACAACCTCAGTATACAAAGATCTCTTTAGTGACACATTTATTGAACACAGTGAAATTTTAGAGCATTTTCTATTTAACATTTCTTGAAAAAATTATACATTATTTTATAATATAAATTAAATTTTAAAGAAGCTTTAAAACATATATTATTATCGTCTTTATTATCATTCATACTTGCAAAAATGATAATACTTTCCTTTATTTCATGCCTTGCAAAAAACTAATTATTAAATGGTCGTTGTTGAAGTACTTAAAATATACTCACTTTTAAGTAGAAGACGTTTAAATAATAATAAATGGTGTGCCTTTTCAAGAAAAAATAATAATACATTTTCCAATATACTGTTAATAGATATCTTCTATATTACATTAATTTTATATTATACGATAGACATAACAATGAATTATGTATAAATGATATAAAAATTAAATGACGTGCTAGAACGCATGCTCTGTTCAAACACCTCTTTGGAAGTAAACGGGAAAGGCAGTGATTTACTATGCAGTTTTTCAGCCTGCCATATCCAAAAGGAAGTACAGAATTAAAACCAAGACAAATTAATTGACCCACAAAATAATAGGTACAGAACTGGTCAGCCTATACTTGAGCACAAGCAGTCGGCAACATTTTTCGAGCCACAAGTTACAAAACTAGAGTTCGACCATGAATATATACTAAATGAAAATTTTAAGCAATATAATACCAAATAATAAAGACAGGAGCCTTGAATAATGAGGTAGTAGAGAAAAAATTTACTACAACTAATAATAATGATAATACGTATGAGTAACATAACTGTTGATACAAGTCAAAATGAGGAATAGTATATGACAATCCAAGTAACCCCCACATATTTCTAATATGAATATGAATTGTTGCATGCATTGAAAAGAATACGGAAGGTTCAAAATCTTGTATATTATGACACTAACCTTCTTATCTATCTTTTCAGATATAATCACGTTTTTTATCTGAGCATCCTTCCTCTTTTTGAGAGCCTCTGCCCTTTTTTTCTGGGCATTTTCATGTTTTTTCAGCATCCAAGATGGTAAACCTTTCTTTTCCTGTATATGTGTCCACTGGCCCCAGCCAGGAAGTAACAGAGGCTTTTCTGGGTTAGGATTTTCTTCCTCGAGGATCTCATGCTTGTCCTTTTCAAAATCACCTTCTACATCATCCCCTGCAAACGCTTGCCTAATGAGCTCCTCTTGAGAAGGAAGTTCATAAGGCACTTTAGAAACAGAAGACAGAATTCCATCCACCATCTGTCCTTCACTATTGGTATCACTATCCTCTCCAATCTCCTTTTCAGAATCCTAAGATATAAAAAGAATCAAATGTAAGATTAAACCAATGACATGCTTTATGCTTGTAACAAAATAGAAAGAGCTTATACTTTTTTATTTTGCCTAACTGGCCCTGTAAGGTTTGGAGACTTCTTGATAGTTGTGTTTTCATTTTTGTTCTTTGCCTGCTTATCACAAATACGTAAGCGCAACAGGTCATAAATGGAAAATACATTTCTTTAACAAAAGAAACAAATTAAAAATAGAAGAGAAAAAAAAAATATATATATACATAGATATATTAAAAGCACCTTTTTCCACTGATCTGACACAAAAATGGAAACTTCGCATGTAGTTTTTGGCCCAGGATTTTCAATAATATCATCAATGGTCTGTGAACAAAAAATGCATTAAATGTATCACATCCATTGAGACAGACATCCATATAAGAAAAAAGACAATAAGATTTCCATCACCTTCAACAAAGATTCCTTGTGAGTATCAGTGTCTTCTTGAATCACAACTGAATCCTTGTTATGCAAAAGGTGACTTCCCATATTCTCCATGTTGCCACTTTTACCGATTCCCAAGTCATCCTCACTATCACTGCCACCATAGCTGTTATCTGATTTTACCCTGGTATCAGATACTTGAGCTTTGGCTGGTCCAAATACTCTTCTGCCACTGGTAGAAGCAGCTTTTGGATCTTCTAAGCCACCAGAATTCTCTGGTTTCTTTAACGAATCTTCATATTCTTGGAAAGCAAGGTTAGCTTCTTCAACAGCTGCCTCTCTTCTTTTCGCCAATCCACGCCTCTGCATCAGATTAAGATCAAAGGAAGACCACAAATCATTAAGAAAACCTACGATTTTCAATCTCTATATTGAATACTAAAGAGAATTGTTAGAATTATTGGTTATTGTGTATGAGTTGTGTGCAAGTGTGTTCCAACTAAGAGTGAATTGGAAAGGAGTGTGGTTAGTTATTTTGTTTTCTATAAATGTAAGTTTAGAGGTGTTTAAGCCCTCAAGAGAACATATTTTTATCTCAAGTTGGTATCAGAGCAGGATGAACCTGCTCTGGTTTCTGTCCTAAAGTGGTCCACCAGCATTGTCATTGTTGTTTGCATCTGTCCGGTGCCCATTGCCGTCATCCGCGGTTGTCTTGCCACTATCTGCAGCTGTCAACTGCAGTTTGAAGCTCTTCAACTTGGTTCTCTGCCATCTCGCATCTGTCCGTCACCGTCTGCTACCGTCCGCCGTCGTCCGCCGTCACTGTTCTTTCCGGCGACCACTGGATCTGGTTTGCCTCTTCACGCGACGACCAACCCCACCAGTGTCGTCGTCTGATTCTTCCTCACACTCCGCCACGCGCCGCTTCTTTGTGCGCTGCGAACAGGTGCGTGCAGCTCACGCGCCGCCCTCTGGCCGTCGGAAAATCACCGCGACACCTCCATAGTCGTCGCCTGGACCTCCTCTCTCTGCTCTGCCCCTCAAAACCTTGCTTCAGTGAGGTCCAGAAGCTCCCCTTGAAGAAAACCCTAAGAAACCCCTAGGGTTTTCTAGTTCCTCTCGGTTTTCTGGCTCCTTTCTAGTTCCTCTCCAATTTTTATCAACAATGGCGTTTGGAAGTGTTCTTTCTTTCTCTCGAAGTCCCTCAATTACTTCCGAAAAGCTAAACGGAAAGAATTACCTCTCTTGGTCTGCTGCCATGGAAATGTGGTTTCTCGGTCAAGGACATTATGACCACCTTGAGCAGGATGGAAGCCAAGTACCTTCTGAAAAAGCAGAACAATGGAAACAAGCATATTTCCAATTGTGAGCCCTATTGTGGCAATCTGTGGAACCCCGACTTTTGATATCTCTTAGAGCCTTCAAAACATGTCACTCTTTTTGGAAGTAAGCTCAAATCATTTATGTTAATGATATTCAACGTCTCTATGATACAGCAAACAAGCTTGCATGTCTCAAAATGACAGACCATGATATGGTCTCCTTCATGACTGAAGCCCAAGCAGTTGTGGAAGAGTTGAGAATGTTCTTGGAAGTGGAATCTTCGGAAGACATCAAGAAGAAGCTTGACAAGTATTATATGGTGATGATCCTCCGTGCTTTACACCCTGATTTGATCAGAGATCAACTTCTGACAAGTCATGAGGTCTCTTCCTTGGAAGCCTTGACCACACGTCTTCTTCATGTTCCAGTGCCTCAATCTCAGGAAGCTCTTGAAACAATGGAACCATCTGTCATGGTTGCTACGCGGGGAAGAGGAGGACGGGGCACTAGAGGAGGAGGACGTGGAGGTAGGGGACGTTTACAGTGCACTTACGGTAAGAGGATGGGTCACACCCAAGAAAACTGCTACTCCTTGCATGGTTTTCCTTCAAAAACAACCAATATCTCTAAGGCTGAAACTCCCACTTTCTATCCCTACTCTGTTACATTCAGTCGACTTTATATTTTGCACATTTGACTATATTCCGCTGCACTACAAAGTCTTTTTCATTGCATTTCAAGAAAGCTTTTAAAGGCATCTACTTTGCGAAAAAGATTTAAAGAAAACATTGTTTTTGTGTTTCACCAATTCC